CATATGACACACTGCGGAGAACCAAGTGTCATTTTGAAATTAACTTGCTTTTAATATTGTTTTAAATCATAATGCGAAGAAAATTAAGTACGCACAAGCGTAACTCAGATCTCCTCAAGAGGGGCACACGTAGCAGTGGTTTGTGAGAGCCACTTGCAGCCAGTACTTGTGGCTGTGTGCAAGGGCTGAGCCAAGTCTGAGTGAGCCCAGGCTGGTCCCCGGCTGGTCCCATCACCTCTGAGCCAGGCTCCCAGGCATCCACCTGTGCTTGGAAATGGTCCTGCTTTGCAGCAGTGGGAAGAGTCTGGACTTATCACGGGGATCGCAGCCCGAGATGTGTGTGATGGATGGATAAAAGGGAAGCTGGGCTGCGGCCAGTGCCTGCGGTTGCTACCAGTGCTTGCCCAAAGTAAGCTCGGGGTCTTCTGCATCAGTCTTCAGCACACAGTGTAACACTGTCTTTGGAGGGATGCAAGTCCCCCACCTCAATCGTGAAATACCAAGCAAATCCATCGCCAGTGAAACAGAAAATTAAGTCACCTGCTTCAAAGAATGGGACAGGAAAGCATTGCACATTTTGTTAATTGGCTTTCTTCTTTTTTTTTTTTCCCTTCCACACTGAGGTGAGAACTAGAGAGGAAAAATATTAAGAGTGCAGAGATCACAGAATGTTTGCTACAGTGTTAGTGTGATGGGGCGATCTATTTTTGGAGTGTTTATGCAGTGCTAGATAGAGAAAAGAAGTGGCACTCTGGGAAAGAGATACTCTGCTCAGTCTGGCATTGTGGCGGTGCTGGAAATTAGAAATCAGTTAATAGGATTTTTCTGTCTGGATCAGCCTCTGGCTGTCTTCAATATGTTCAGGAAATCACTTTACAGCTCTGCTTCCATTTCCCTGGCTGTCAAATGAACATAATGATAACTACCTCCTCTGAGTGCTCGTGCTTCATTAGAGCAATAAAACATTTCGGAGGAAGGAGTCATAGATGTGTGATTTATTAATCCAGCAAGGTCAGACTGAACTGTCTGTAAACAGCTAAAGAAATTGCAGAATGACGGAAAGGTCTCCTGGAGCTGAGCGGATGCTGATGCTCGGCACACTGCCTGTGTGCAGGATTGCCAGAGAAGGTGAAGCAGATCTTTCCAGCCATGTCTGAACAGGGAGGCAGTTATAAACAAAGTATTTTTGTTTCTCACCTGCCACGTATCACCTCACTGCGGTGAGTCCTTTGAGTGTTCAATGCAGTAGCCTGCTGGGTTTTTTTCAGAAAGAGGTTTTGCTTGTTTAGTTCTTCTGTGTGGATGTTTTATTAAGAAGCTCTGCATAGCTTTTTCTGTACGTACAACTAGTTGTGACATGATTTTATGCTTGAACACAATAAAATAAAATGAGTCAAGGAGATAAGATACTGAGATAAACAGATGAGCAATGTTTATAAGCCACAAGAGCCTCCTAAATTTGATAACCATCAGTTCTAGCCAATATACCCCATGGTGCTAAAGAAAGAAGAAACCAATATTGCAGAAGCTTTTACAGAAAATTTATGAGCACACTTTGTTCAGGAGCAGTCCATGAAGATTGAAGCATAGCTAGCACTATGTACTTACTTACGAAAGGGCTTACAGAGAAGTCCCTTGTTGAATTCACAAACTGTTTCAGGGAATTAAATTGGGGAATATGGAAATGGCCTTTTAAATTTTTTTTTCCCATTTATTAGTGTATACCCAGAAGAAGAAAGTGATGTAATAAATTATCAAACTCCTTTGAGTAATGTGGCTGAATAGACAATAACAGTGAAGCATAGTCCCTGCCAAAGTTATTAAGCATACCTGCTCAAGTTTGTGTTTTATGGGATAAGTGGATTAGTATGGACTGGTTTTCTAATAGGAATTTCCCCCACCCTCCCACCTACCCCCAAACCCTTAAAATAGACTTTCACTGTGTTTAGGTACTACTTTCCAATTAAGAAATAGATACTAACATGCATAAGTCAGGATATTCTTTCAACGAGCACGGACGCCGTTTTCTGTGTCACAACGTGATGCTTACACCCTGATGCTTACACCTTTTGTGATTTGATCCCTGTTTCACGTATTATTTACTGTTAACATCGCTAAGAAAGTGTTGCCATGTGGTTTGCTTGCTGGAGAGCATGCCAGGCACATGGACCACCCTTCACCCCAGGCCACAGCCATGGGTAGCTCCTGCAATGGTGAGAGAGGTACCTCATCCCCCATAAAGCCACAGAGGACCCACGTGTGGTCCTACTCACAGCTATGACTTAAAATTTGAGAAAGTAAAGTTGAGAACATATAGGTAAGAACGGTTGGTGGGAAGAGTTACCATGCATTAAGAAATGGTTGTGAATTGTCAGTGAGTGGAAACAGGGACTGTGAAGACAGTGGAGAGCAGAGTTAAACAAAGCAGCTGACTCTCGTTCTCCCCTGCTCATCATACGGTTTTTGATGTAAGATGTTCAGATTAGTTTCTGGTGTTGTTGAGGCAGATGATTAAGTGCCAGATAGACTCTGTGCAAGTTAAATTCTGCCTTAGCTCAATACAAGGTGAAACCAGAGAAATAAGGCTGCTCTCGGGCAGCTTAAAAAATTAACGTTTAAAAAACAAGCGAGGAGAGCTGCATGCTGGTGGCTGCTGCATGTGAGGTTGTGTTACCAAGAAGCAGCAGTCATCTCTTCATGTACAGGCTCAGCCTCCCTGGTGAGGGACAGCTGTGGCACAGTGCCCAGTGTAGGCATTTGGTCATAGCGGTGCTTTATATCCCATTTGCTCTCTTGGTAAGAGTTACTTACTCAGATCATTACCTTTATGCTGTATTTTGCCTGTATCTTCTGGATTATAGAGAGAACTACGATTTTCGTTCACAAGTAATTTAAGCACATCTCGTGGTTAAAGCGAAAAGGGGGATGCTGCTCCAGGCAGCTGTAAAGGTGAAGCCGTTGGTGGGTTGCTGCGGTGGTCAGTGGAAGCAGTCCCTGACACCCAGTGCCAGGCTGGGCTGCATACGGCACTGCTCACGTAAGCGTGGGGAAAATGGTGATGGGGGAGGTTTTCATGCGGCTGCATGGATGGGAGGTTCGTCTCTCTGTGCAGTGAGACTTACTTCTTATGTGTACTTTAAAGGCTTTATCCAGAAAGCATAAAAAATCAGGACAATCTTTGGTTGAACAGATCATCTTCTAAGTTACACCTGTGTTGCATCTTTTGCCATACTGCGCCACAATGTCTCCCTCATATTTATCTTCATTTTGTGCTGGTAGCATATTGGAGCACAAAACTCTACAACAGCACAGGAGAAATAGGTTTGGAGGGTGTCCTCGTAACACCCCAGCCTGGGAGCCTTGATCTGCTTCTCTGCATAAGATCACAGTAAGAATTGTGGAAAGAGGGAATAGATTAGGCTTCGGATGTGTGGTTGGTTCACTTCATTTAGAATACTACTTTGAAATTATTTCTTATTCTTGAATATTAAGTAGCCTCAACAGTTTCAAGTTGCAGCTAAGACAAAACGGGCTGGGTTTGCATCTTGAATGTTGCTCAGTTGAAACATAAAAAAGCACCTCTGATTTTCATTTTCATTTCATTGTGTTTTGTGCTATTAAGTGTCATCCAAGTTAAATTCTCTTGTATGTTTGTCCAGTGCTTCATGTTTTTACGTTTACCCTTTTCTCTTTGCTTTCTTTAGGGGGTTGGTTTAAGATTTCATCAGTAATTGTGGGCATTGGTACTGCTTTATTAGTGCTCCCTGTGCGTTGTGCTTTGCAGATCACGGGTTTCACGTTTTCTACCTGTACCTCCCAGAGGTCTCTGCAGCGACACTGAGAACTTGCTTGGTCCCTTCCTGTACTGCAGAGGAAGGAGGTATTTGGCTGAAAACCAATAAAGGGAAAACAGCACCAAAACTACATGTAAACACGTATCTCTGCTCATTGGCAGTAATTATTTGCCCTAAGGCAAGGTGACAGCAGCATGTCCTCATGCCAGGAGTCAGCTAGACAGGATCAATATAGGCAAGAGGAACAGAGACATACATAACAGATCCAGGAAAAGCGTATGTTTACAAGTCATGATGGTACATGGCGTTAGGGATCTTCCCAGCTGCCAGCAGATGACTTGACACTTAGGGACGGCTTCTTGTTGTTGTATGGTGGGGACAGAGTAATGCTATTAAAGGTCTCCAGAGAGAGATGGGATCGCTCATATAGCGCAGCGTACCCAATTAAAAGGTTAAAGTAAAGCAGAGGATCTCCATGCTTTGTTTAAAAAAATACAGGTGTTATTTGTGTACCTTGTTTTAAGTTGAAGCTGTGGTTTCCCGGAAATCAAGCTGTCTGGGACTTGACCTTTCTGCACGGTTGTTTACTGAATTTGCTTGTGATTTCTATGTAGTCGCCTCACTGTTTCCCTGCTGCGGCTGGAAGCAGGCACTGCAGTGTCTCCACCTTTGCCTAGGGGGAGTCTGATGCCAGACTTCACGAGGGCATTGGTCACAAGCTATAATTTAGACATTAATACTCCTTCAGCAATGAAAACCATTACTCTGATCTCCCCCGGGGAATTGTCCAGTCCTTTTGCATGCACGCTCCTTTCTTCTAATCTCACTTTTAACAATGCTGAGGCATTGTTTTGTTGATTCATACCTATGAAAGCGTATTTTCCTCTTCCCTGTTCTGTCACTCCTGTTGTTCACGCTTTTTTCCTTCTTGTTACTCTTATTAAAATTACTCTACTTCACTCTTGTTTTCCTTTAAATATTTGAATAATTAACAACAGTAGACGCAGAAAGATTTCTGTCGATGTGAACTGTATTGGTGTTTGACACGGCTTGCTGAGTAGGGAAGGGGGGGGCAATGGGGAGCGACTTTTTCAGCAGCGGTTTTCCAGCACTTCCTTGGCTTCCTGTTTGCAAGGAGAGCTTTCAGACAGCCTTTCCAGTGTTCCTCTGATCTTTAAATGCATGTTTTCCAAATATGTTCCACAGGTGCCAACAAAAAAGCTGAAGAAATATGAGAGAGAGTACCAAACAATGCGAGAGAGTCAGCTGCAGCAGGAAGATCCTATGGACAGATACAAGGTACGGGAGATGCTATATGGGAACCTGTTTCATTGGCTAAATCCCTTGGGGAGTGACTCAGTTCCAGCAGTTAAGCAGAGGTGCGTGTACTGTGCTCACCTCTCTGGGATACGCCAGTGCAGATCTTAGGGAAGTTAAGTGGCAGGTGAAACTCATCCCCTTTCTTGAACAAGCAGTTTGAACACTTGGACTTAAGAGTTTTTTCCAGGAATATTTCAAGCACCATTTTGTAACTCTCAAGACATCTGCAAGTAGCCACATATAATATTTTTCTTCTTTCAGTTTATATGTTTGTAGGTAACTCTCCTGCTGTTGCACTTTTACGGGAGATCTTCATGAGACGCAGAAACAAAGTTTGATTCTCAGCTACAGACACAAAAAGGAGAAAATACACATTGTTCTAGCACAAGTTGTGTGCAGTGGCATCCACAGAGACTTTTGGAAGATGAACTCTTCCTTGACTGATATGATCCTTGTTATTCATCTCTGTTTATACCAAGTGTTAGTAAGTTTTTGTTAATATAATGCCTAGTACAGTGGGATCCAGAGCTCTCCTGGGGTCCCAAGGTACTACTGCAATAGAATTAATAGCGATAAACGTCCTGCTTTAAAGCAGCAGAGAAAAAAAGGTTCAGTTATTAATATGATAGCTTGATAGTTCACCAAAAAAGAATAGTTCTTTAATTTTGGATCAGCATTGCTTATCTTTCCAATGTATTTGCTTTTATTGTCACTGCTACATTCTGTTGCCATAGATTTTTGTGTGATGGAGGCTCTGCCTCTAGGCATATACTTCACTTAGTGTTCAGGATCCATTTATTGCTTACCCTGTTTTATAAAATTCAGTTTTCTTTAGGTGAAGCTGCCAGACATGAAGCACTTTACTGCCCATTGGCCAGGTTAGCTGGGAACTGACATTGCTTACATATACCTGTACTGTTTTCCTGCTGTTCTTCATTGTGCCTTAATATGTTAAGTGACATTGCAGTTGGTATGGAGTCCACCAGGAGTGTGGAGTAGTAAATAATCATACAGGTTTATGTGGTCTGTGAACATGAGGAAACTGCACCATGTTCAGAAAACCACAGTGTGAAAATCTGTAGTGAAAGACTATGCCATAATTCACAAATGTGATGAGATGCAGTTACAGGTACAGACCAAGTAAAACTGACTTTTTAAAAAAAAAAGTATTTACCTGTGAAAAATTGTTTTGAGTATATTTCTTTTGATGTCAAAGGGTGTAGATTTTATTGTCTGTGAGAACTGGGACTGCTGTAGCAGCCGAGAGCCAATAGTGAGTATGACCTATGTAGAAAAAAAACACAACTTGCTGCCGACTAAGTATTTTTCCAGTGGTTCACTTATAGTACTGTGGAATTTAAATAAGACTTAGAAAACAAATAAGGCTTCTTTAAAGCTCTGTGGAAGCATATTAACTTGTTAATCTTGGGCGATGGACAGTGAAGAACGTTATTGCCAAGCTGCAAATGAGTATATAGAAAGTGACTCTTCGGCCACTGTGTGAGTCACTGTCACAGTCAAGATCACAGCCCAGGGTTTTGCCTTGCTCTTTTGCAACTCGCTGTGTGATTTTTTTATTAAGCTGGATTGGGTCTGATCCTCTTGGCGATGCTGTGATTAGAGAGAGTCCCTGAACTGGCTAGCTGCACATTAAGTTCAAAGTTTGGACGCATTCTTCAGCTGCTGGGTGTCATGGAGAAATGGTTATAAGTGCTCTCTGTTCCTTGTCTTGCTTGTTTGATTTTATTAATGTGTCAAGCTGAGGTTGGTAGGAATTGACATTTCAAGAGTGTTTCCAAAGGGCAGCAAGAAACGCAAACTGTGTGGATCCTCGCAGGCAGAAAGCGGAGCGCCAGCTTCGCTTGTCCCTTAAATGATCACTCTGCAGCCCCTGTGTTTAGAAATGCATTTCATTTTGGCAGCATCAGTGGTAGGCTTTGCCCAGCCGGGCCTGGTTTGGGAAAGGACTGAGCCTACGCTGTCGAAAAGCCAGTATTGCCTGCGAGTGTGGCGTTGCTGCTAGCTCGCTCTGGCCTTCTGCGCTCTCCCTGTGGGCTGTGCCCTAAAGGCCTACATCACTGTAATTTTTACAGTTTCTCTTCCCAGAACAAAACGAGTTTTTGGTTTACTGCCCAGGAAGGGGATGTTTCTTTGATGGGATTGCTGGCATGGAGATCCCTGCAGAATATTCCTCTTATAGGTCAAGAAGGAAACAGGCTTTTAGTCTGTAGATAGTTTTTAGTTATAGCTGTTACAGTTTTTGTTGTTTGCAGCATGTTAGTTTTTATTGCCAGTAGACATTTGTCAGGACCACAGAGACATTGGCACTTCCGAGTTGCAGTGATGAAGGACGTCTTGAGTAAGACACCTGCCTGTGACATGGCCCTCAGTGGAAATGGCTTGATGGACAGTGGAGAGAGTAGGAGATGGGCCGTGCGCTACGCTGGGGTGGGAGCAGCCACTGCGATGGCAGTGGGGCCCCTGCTGCACTGCTGTCTCCTCCTCCTGGTCCATCCCTGCTGCGCTGTGAGCGGCGGGGAGGGAACTCGCGGGAGCTGGCGCAGCTCTCCCGTGCAGGTCTGACTTTCACCCGGGTGTCCAGGAGAGACCAGGACCAAATGAGAGCAGTGTGCGTGAGGTACGCTGGGGTGGGAGCAGCCACTGCGATGGCAGTGGGGCCCCTGCTGCACTGCTGTCTCCTCCTCCTGGTCCATCCCTGCTGCGCTGTGAGCGGCGGGGAGGGAACTCGCGGGAGCTGGCGCAGCTCTCCCGTGCAGGTCTGACTTTCACCCGGGTGTCCAGGAGAGACCAGGACCAAATGAGAGCAGTGTGAGAGCGTGGCGTGCTTCTTCCTCTCTTCCCCAGCGCTTTGGGTCCTAGAGGTGCTAAGAGCACCTAGAGGTTCCCGAGCACGGGAACGGTGGGGCTGAGCAGCCTCCTGTGAAACGCCAGGAAAGAGATGCTTCCTGCCTGAGGGCAGCTGGGTCCAGGCAGGGTGCTCCTCCAATCCCACCGACCCCAAACTCTCCATAGGCTCCAGAAAAGGACTGTTTTTGCAACATCTGGCCTGCCATTAACCAGTCGCGTTTTCTTGACAGGTTAAATTCATGTGCTACAATAAGCTGTGTTACATGCCACAGGAGTTCCTGCCCAGCTCGTATTTTACATGTTGATTGTGATTTGACTTACCAAAAGAACAGTATTAAAGAGTGCCATGATTTTTGGTGTTTGTTTCCTTCTGTATTTACAAGTATTATTTAGGAAAAGTGTATTTTTTATGGACACCTTTTCACTTTATTTTCTATTGCTTATAACAAATTATCACTCACATCTTTGTCAGATAGATTTTTAAAAGGTGCAAAAATAAATATGTTCTAAATTGCTGTTTGTCACCGAATTTCATGACTTTTGGTTAAAATAAATTACAAATTGCCTATAGAAGCCAGGACGAAAAGTGAGTTGCATGTGCAGAAAAAATAGCAATATAGCTCAGATTGATATTTTTCTATATATTATGGGGTTCTTTTCTGTGTTTGAGAACATCTCATGTAACAGGGTCTTGGTTGACTTGATGGGAAATTGACGGAGTTGGGCTTGGGACTTCTTGATTTAAAATAAAGAGGATATAACCATACAAAGAAGGACTGGAGTTTTGCAAGCAGACCCTGCCTGTGCACACAGTTCTGTTCTGAGGGTAGAAACGCCTTTTCCTCTGCGGACCTTGTTGTGCAACAGAGAAGTTGTCTCTCTGAATAAATGTGTAATTTGGACATAATAGCCTTTTGCATGTTTGAAGTGGAAGCAAAAATTAATACGCTGGTCATTTTTATTCAGAGTCATGTGTAAAGTCAGTTACATCATGGTAACTGAATGGCAACTGTCATGAGGAAAAACGAAGATAACTCTTGATGTGGCTTGTTGTTTGTTTGCGGTTTTTAAAAAAAGTGTGCTGGGGCATTTTTGGGAATGCTTCTTCAGAGTCAACAAACAGGAAACACAAACCACCTCCAGGAGCCTCTGTGTTGCTTCCCATGAGAGTTTTCCTGGATAGTTTGCTGTAAAAGCCTTTTGGGTTTCTAGATGGAGGTTCACAGGGTTTTCCTTCAGAGCTCCTCCGCAATCAAGAGCCCTTTCCAGTGGGCTTACGAAGACTTCAGTTTGCTCACATCCAGAAAAGTGAATTCTGATCAGTGTTTTCATTCCACCATTGGGGATCTGTTCGTGCCCAAAGATCTGGGGTTTCAGTGTTTGCTCATCAGAAAATGTGACACTGAATTGCTTAACAAGGTTTGTGACTCGTTACACCCCGCTTGAGTAGCAGCACAGAGAGAATGCATCATCGCCACTAATCTTGTCAGGAATTGCTCCTTGGTGCTGGCTGGAAGGGAGCAGAGGGTGGAGTTCAGCCTTTCAGTCCTCGTGAGCTGAGTGAGGCTTGCCTACTGCTTTCAGATTTGCCGCCTTCTTTCCGTCCAGTGTGTGATGGAAGCTGGAGTATATCCTCTTTAAAACTCAGAACCAAAAACCCACTGAAGATTCAGCAACATTTTTTTTTGGCTGTCTTCGTTGGTATTAAAAATTATTTTATATCCTGTTTTCACTGTCTTTACACCAATGGTTGAAAGCAGTATTTGGTCTGTGACTTTACAGGAGGTAAGTTTATTTGTGTTTATATGTATCAGCGGTGTTTGTCCCTTTTGGAAATGCAGTATCCTCCTTTTAAAAGCTAACCAGAGTTCACCGGCTGCCTTTTGTAAGCGGAAGGAGGAATTTGGGAAAGAGGAATCTCTTATGTTACTGATTGTAGAAACTGAGCAATGCCAAAGAGGAGATCGTTGTCGTAGTCGTAAATTGTTAGTGGTGTGTAAAGGAAAGGCAGGAAGCTGTCTGTTTACACCAAGGACAACGAGCAGGTCTGACGAGTTGGCTTATGCCAGGTTACAAAATGCTGTCTGTGATGCGAGTCCTGCTGTAACGAACCAGCTCCATCTGTTGAACTTCATGCCATTGCGAATGTTATTTTATAAAACCCTGTAAATATTTCAGAGCCGTTGAAAATAGTTTGCTACATGTGAAAAGCGCTATTTGCTATTTTTGTCTTTACTGTGTAACGTTAGGTTTTATTTAGACTTAAGCAGATTAAGAGTTTCCTCCTGAGGAAGGAGGCAGTTTTTCACTGCTAGATCTGGGGGGAGGAGCTGGAAAAGACAAACCATCTAATCGCGCATACTGCCCTGTGTGGAGGAAGAGTAAAGGTGGCCCTATAAGAGACTTTCCGCTGGAAATTAAAAGTATGGTGAACGAGATAAAAACATCTCTTAGCTATTGACTGGATGCCCAAGGTAAGAGATCTTTAACTTCCTAAAAACGTGCCATGTAAATTCTAGTTTAAGAGGAGGATAGCGCATTTCCAACCACGTAGCTTGCTTACCCACTTGTCTGCGAATGCAAAGCAGGAACTCTGAACTTCACATTGTGCAGCTTGCTTTGCGGACACTGAAGCTTTTGGCAAAAGCATAGCAAAAATGTTAAAGCAAATTTCTTTCTGGGTTATTTTGTGGAATTTGCTGATTTTAAGAATTTGCTGATTTCTCCCTCCAAGCAACATCCCTATGAAAAGGTATTGGTGCTGCAGCACCTGGCAGCAATGCTGTCCTGATCTGGTCCTGGTTTTTAGGTGAACTCAAGTCACTTTCTGACAACTGCTCGCTGGTAGAGCTGTGTCTGTAAAAATCCACATTTCCAAGATGGTCTGAACAAAAGACAGAAATAAAGACACATTAGAGCCTTTTAAAATTATTATTGTTATTGAAGACTGCAATTTGGTTTTACACTTTAAAGTTTATACTACCCTTACAGAAGAACTTTACTTTTAAAAATTCCTTGTCCCAAACAGAATACAGTGCAATTAAAATAAAAAAGACCCCAAAGTTATGTGTCTTTTAGCAGTGGTTATTTTAACTGTGTTAAAACAAAAGTATTTTACTTACAGTTTCTGTTACAAAACAAGTTATTTAAAGTACGACCTTTTGGAAAGGAAACAAACTTACTTTCCTGTACAGCGCAGTGCATACTCTAGTTGCACAATAGGGTCACATTAATGAGAGGGTATTTGCGGAGGTTCTACTTCCTGCCACAGAGGAAGCTCCCACACAGAAGAGACCTTTTTTAGCATCCTCTTAGAGCTGTAGTTGTCCTTTTTTGTTTAAGACAAGCATGCAAAATCTTCTTGCAACAGAAAGGAAAATTGCAGTTTCATGGTGGTGAGTTTGGAAAGAAAAAAGCTCAGCTGGTAAAGCATAGCTGGTGAGCAGGAGGAAGTGAAGACAGGTGAATAATGTGCTTATGCAAAGAAATCACATTTTGTAGGAAGGCATTCAGTGAACAACTCTTGGAACTTTTTTGCTGTCTTAAGTGCTGCTATATATTCACTTTTACTGTTTTTTCTTGGAGAACATAACTTACCCTTCAAGTGAGCACAGGTCCTTTTTGAAATCTCGGCATGTATGTTATTGTTCCTCCACCTATGAGTTTCCATATGAACTTAGTATTTTTCCTTGAGTTTCCACAGCGCACAAATTCCCTTTACAGTCTCTTTTGGTATGAAAGATACTCGGTCATTGTGTGACTGAAGGCCAGCACATTTTTTGCTCTCTTAAAATCTGTTTGAGGAGGGCATCTCTATCTGTCCCACCTGGCTGTGTTCTTCTGAAGATGAAGATGTGTCTTTCATGTGGACTCCTGGAAGTCCACTGACCCACAGACATCTTTTGACTATGATTCTGCTTCTCAGCCCTAGAAGAACAGTCACTGAAACTGATTTTTAAAAAACATGAATTACTACTGTTCATTCTTCTCCTGTGTACTTACCTCTCTAGTTAGTGCTCTATGTAGTCATTTCTGCCTGTGCGGAGTGGGTAGGGAGTGCAGTGCAGCGAGGACCAGGGCCTGCAGTCTCAAAGTTCTGCATTTTGTGTTGCCGTGCATTGCCTGCCAAGCAGGTTCTGGGCCCGTGCTCAGGGAGCGAGGTCCCCTCTCCATCTGGCACTTTTTCTCAGCAGGTGTCCTGTAAAACGTGCACTGTTGTCACTGGTGCAAGTTACAGAGAGAGTCCACAAATGGCGATATAGATCCATACAGCAGCTGTAGGGAGTTCCCTGCTAAATGATGTTCTTCACTGGTCCCGCAGAGGATGGGAGGTTGGCACTACAGCATCTACAAAATGGACTATTTTTATGGATTCCTGCAGACAAAATTTTGTAAAATGGAGCAGGACAGCTTTCTACTTATGATTGGAAACTTTATTATGAGTATCTCTTAATTGGTCCCTGTTCACTGCTGCTGGGTGGGATTTTATCTGCCTAATTACTTTGATGATGAGCAAGCAGAAACCAAGTGCTTTTGTGGAGAGAACTGTGTTTACTTTTGACAGAGAAAACCTACAATCAGTGTGTCACTTACGCGACACAACATAACCATTGGGATGTAAGTGGAATCGCTGCATTTGCACTGCTGGCTTAATTCACTGTTGTTTCCCAGAGCAGCAGTCCTGTCTTAATGTGCACTCTTGCCTTCTCAGTGTTTTACACACACAATATACTCGCTTATTGCTCTTTAATATTGATAAGGATTAACTTCCTTTTCTGGTTGTTCCTTTCTTTCTGCAGAGGGAAAACCGCAGGCTCCAAGAAGCAAGCATGCGGCTGGAGCAGGAGAACGATGACCTTGCCCATGAGCTTGTAACAAGCAAAATCGCCTTACGAAATGACCTGGACCAGGTAATGCTAACAGAGATGGGTCCCAGCTCAGGCTTGGCAACACGCATTTTAGGAGGCCTGCTTTGTGCTCAAGTGAAAGCATGAACACAACATTAAAAGTATAATTATTTGTGCCTTTGTTTTCCTGACAACCTCGCTTCTAGTTGCAGTCAGAAAGCTGGATTTCCACATGCATGCAACTGTAGGCACTCACAGTGGTGCCTTGCCTACGCTGACTGCACCTCCTCTGTTGAGGATTGTTTCAGAAAATGGAAGCCATAACCTTTAGGCAGATACCAAAGAATGAACATTTACTTGAAAAAGGTATCAAAAAAGGTATCACGTACTCCTCGAAAGACTAATTTCGAGGGAAGTTGCCTTGCAGAATGTCTACCACCTTACGTGGATCTGTTTTTCACAGCAGTTTTAGTACAGCCAATAAAATTCAGAGACAATGAAGTGGCATGGCACCAAAAGTTAGAAGGGCTCCTGGGTGTCCTTCGACAACTGCTTTTGTTTCCTGTGAAGACTGGAATGTGGAGGGCAGCAGCATTCAGAGCCTTTTATCTCAGACATGGCTGTCAGAGAACCACACATTCAACCCTCTTCTTTCTTGGAGTGTTTTATGTAGTATTGATAAATGTCGTAACAGCTATTATTAAGGTATTAAATACAGGAGGGCCGTACTCCACCACACCTCGTGATTAGTCTCTTGCTCAGTAAGGGCTGTAGTGCCTTTTATAATGTAAAATCTTTTCCTGCAAGGGCCTCTCAACTGGATTTCCCATAGTTATTTGGCTTTCTTTATCTAACCTCAGAATTGTAAACGTCATTGACCACAGTTGTGCAATTTGTATTTCTGTGTAGGCAGATCCTTGACAGTTAGGCTCTCCTGATTTGGATCCATGTGATTCTAAAAATCTGAGCTGTCTTGGTAAGCAAACGCAAGCAGAGATGCGCTTTGCATGATGGAGTGGGCAATCTTGTGTGAAGGCCAAAAGCAATGTGTTGAGGTGCTCTATCTTCCCTGGGAATAGCTGTACATAAAGCAGCTTTATGTCTGCTGCTGCCCATGCTTGTTTTTTCTCAAGTATCATGACAAGGCTGCCAAGCACATACCTTTGCCAGTCCCATTCCTTGTTCTCCTGCATTTTAGCAGTCTTTCTGTAGACGAGAGTGGCTCCGTGAAGTTTTCCCACACCCTGCCTCAGTTCACTGGCACCAAAAGAAAAGCTTTGTGCTACTGCACTCCTCATCTGCAAGGACAGGTGATACCGTACACCACTGCAGGTGCTTGGAGAACCTGGAGTGAACACATAAAAGGAGGAAGGATTTGTAGTTCCTTCAAAGCACATCTTCAACAGGTCTTTCATCAAAAATATCCTTGTAATCCCCGAGTTCTTTTGTTCTAAGATGTCAATCTTATCAATTTTCCATTCTTTCACTGCTTGTTTTCCTTTCTCCCATACAGCCATATACACACTAAGCAATGCAGCAGTCCTCAATCCGTCTCTTCAGTCGTGGCCCTGGTGGAGCTGCTTCTGCTACCCACAGTCGCCACTAACACCATCATTAATAATTAACACTGTGGCAGATAGATCAGCTAATGCCACCAGCAGTGGTAGAAAACCAAACCGCAACTTGGGGACAAGTTCTGTACTGTTATTTGTTGTTTACAATGCCATTTTCCCTCTTGTATTTTCAGCAAACTAAGTATTATTTGACCACAACCATTGCCTGTTCTAGCACCTAGTTACTGAACAGAAGGAGTGGTGTGACGCAGTGTGTATCTCCCAGTTGGGGAGGTCAGCAGGATATATCCAGACATTGAGAAACACATTTCTCTCCTGGTGATCAGTGAGGATAGTGCTCACAAAAACAAAGCATTCCCAGTATGTTTCACCATAAGCCCGGCCCTTCAAAGAAAGGAGAAAATTCATATTCTCCAGTACCCACACTGTATCAAGTTTCTCCAGGTGATACTTATTTGCACTGATAAACAAACCACTTTATCTGATGGTCCTGTTTGTCTCTTCTATATTTGTCTTCGCCCGGACACTTTGTAAGGTACAGTGCAGGCACCTAACGTTTTCTACAATATCTGGTTTCCCTGCTTACGGATACAAAAATGGAATGAGTTATCTGAAGTTACACAGGAGCTAATCACTTAGATTAATATTGTTCCCAACAAAAATATTCTGTACAACATTGTTTGTATTAGGTTCGTATTAGGACATAGTATCAATGATTACTTGCCATCTGGGCATAGGGTCCTTTTGCACAGTTGTTGAAACACAGTGAAATAACGGTAATTTCATATAAAAAATAGGTTAGGTGAGCCATCAGAGGGCAGGAAAAGGCAATGTTAGAAACTGAATCTGCGATATTTCTGAGATGTATATACCAATACATTTGTATTGGCACAGATAACATCCGATTTACACCAGTGTTTCTAATTCTAGGCTGAAGACAAAGCGGATGTTTTGAATAAGGAACTTCTCCTGACCAAACAGAAGCTAGTAGAGACTGAAGAAGAGAAACGGAAGCAGGAAGAGGAAACTGCTCAGGTAAGGCATTCCCCAACTTTTCCCATTTAGCAAGGAAATGCAAGCAAAAGGATATGAATGTGTTGCAGTTGCGGAAAGAATTTTGTCTTCAAAGTGCAGTCACAATTAAAAATTTACAGTGCCAGGGTAAATGTTTTTTTTTTTTTTAAAGTATGTTTTTCAGTGTTTTCCTTTACTTGAGCTCTGAATGTTCAGTTTTCCATACCTTATCCTCTTCCCAGTATTCTAATAATCATTTTCACTGGTAGTGAGCAATTGCAAATAAGGAGACACGATCAGACCTTTTTTAATTGTCTGAACAAGGAGCTGGAGGAGTTGTTGCCTTATAAGAGGCCATTCTGGATTCAGCTGCTGATTCACTGAAATAAAGCTGTGAATATTCCTGTCTGAAGCTAGAACCAACAGCAGAACAGTTGAGGGTTGGGAGAATTTTGCTGACTCGACCTGGCCTCATACTTGTTTGCAAATTGTTCAGTCTTAGTTTTTTAACCCTACGTATCTAACGTGCTGAATACTGACACACAGAAAGTACGTTTCAAAAGTGATACCCTGATTTTTATTTTTCCCATTTGACAACAGTGGCTACAATAATCAAACAGTAATTCTTTGCGTCTCTCTAAAATGGAGGTTGCAGTTCTCCGTTTGCTATAAACAAGGCAGTGGAGGCCTTTTTCCTACTGAAAGGGCTCGCAAAATTTAGTGGTTCTGAATGGTGGAGGAATGAGTGAGCTGTATTTTAACGCAGCGCCACAACCAAAACAGATTTTTTTCTCCTGTTACAGAGGTGAGAGTGATAGTGCTGAGAGATTCTTCTTCCTGTTCCATCTCCAAACAAACAAATAATCTGTCTGCCCAAACCTTGTGTGACAGTGTGCAGAAAAACAAAATCAGTAAAACCCACTTAATAGTAATGCTCTTGTTTTGTGTTCTGTGGACCACGCTGAACCACCATTTAACGCAGAGAAAGAGAATTACCCTACAGGAGAAGTCTCTAAAGCAGGGATACACTGTATCACAGTATAGGCTTTTTGGTTATAACTGAATATAACGAGTATTTGTATACCGAGTAAATCAGGTACTTGTCTGAAGAACTGGAACGTGGTAAGAAGAAGCTGTAGACCTGTTGTAAACACAGCAAGACTTTGAGAGAACAATCTGATGACGCATTTTGAGACCTTCTTCCGGTGTACTGTGTAACTTCTCTCCTTCAATTGCTAGCTGAAGGAAGTCTTCAGGAAGCAGCTAGAGAAGGCAGAATCTGAGATCAAGAAAACCACAGCCATTATTGCAGAGTATAAACAGGTACTGTTCTAGAGACACTTTCTCATATTTCTTCTTTCAACCTGTTCTGAGGGCTGAATTTTCAGAGTTGCAGATCTCATTCTTTAAATAAGATGCACTACATTTCAGGCTTTTAGACAGCAAGCATTGTAATTTGCCATAAATCTTTTTGTGGTTTTCCTAATAGTCTCCTAATTTAGGGAATCAGGAATAACCTGTCTTTCAGCTAATTTTAGTACTGTAGGGTGAATGCCTCTTTACTCTGTGACATAATGCAGTATAAACATTATAAACCAATTCTTCCATAAAATGTTCCTGTCTCCGTGTTCAGGTTCTGTATTGAATACTGCCATTTTTTTCAGTCTCGTTATCAGCAGCAGTGGATTTGTTAAGGTGGAATGCATATACCTGAGTGAGGCAGAATTTAAGAAATGTTGGCTCTAACAAAAAGCATTGTTAAAAAGCACAGGTTATATTTTAGTATAGTAAACTTTAGCTAAGAGACTGCTTTCTCTGCTCCAGATTTGTTCCCAGCTGAGTACCAGGCTGGAAAAACAACAAGCGGCCAGTAAAGATGAACTGGAAGTTGTGAAGGTGAGAATTGGGATGTTTCTAACACAAGTATTGCTAAATGCCAGAGATATAGAACAAAGTGTGAATTGAAGTTTAATGTAACAACAGCGGTGTCTACCCAGCTGCACTGATACCCCCACATGCATTTTTCATCAGATGTAAACAATGAAAAGGTTTATTTCCTTTCACGGTTCTTTATGTTATATCAGACAGGGTGGAACTCTCAAACTGAAGTGCATATCCTACTTGGCTTTTCTTTTTCCTGTTGAAATATATACTTTCGGGAAAAAATGTAGAGAGACAGTATTTACTTGGATGTTTTAATTAAATGGGGGAAAAAAAAAAGGCTCTCCAGAAGAGAAAACGTGTTGGTTCTCCAATGTGCACAGTGGAGGGGTCAGAATTGGCCAAATTGGACACTGTTTATATTTGGGTTTCTGTAATTTAAGCAGGGTTGGTTTAAGTAATTGGCACAGCTTGGGCCATCCCCAGAATTTCCCTAGCAGTTCCTTTCCCTTGTCTAAACCCCCTTACCAGGAACATCTGCCCTAGAGGTAAACGTTTCCTGATCAGGTAATAATTCCATCCCTCTGCTTTGTTTTCCCTCTGCTGTAGCTTCTAGTTGTTTCTTTAGTACTCAAGCTGAATCTGATTTGTTGCTTTTTAGTGGTTTTTTTTTTGTTATTGATAAAATAATTCTAGGATTGATGTTCCTATAATCTGCTGAAATAGCTCAATATCCTTGTTTTAGTTTGTGTGAGCCAGGCCAGCTGTGCTACATCTTCAGCTATGAGTAACTGGTTCACCTCTCCAGGTAGCACAAGAACCTTACTGTTGTGTGTCAGGTGTCGCTGGCAAAAAGGGCTATCCCCTACGATGCTAAGCAAGCACCAACGGGACAGTATCGGCCCTTGCAGTGAGCACAGGCTGCTTGCTTGCTTCTGTAAATATGGAAAAGCTACCTGGTATTCTTTAAAATATCAAAATCTGTATTAATTTGGTCAAGTGCTTTTATGGAAGACAAAAAGTCCCGAGAGTGTAATTTACTCTTCTGAATTGTGCTGGCATAAATACTGCAAAATATTACAAAGCTTTGGTAGCAAGAAGGCTTGAATAATTGTAATCTAGGAGCAAAGTCTCTGTGCTTAGACAGAGCATGCTAAGTAGGAATTTTTATATGGTTAATATACCCCGGAAATTGTCCATGAACTTCTCAAATTCTTTTCATGTCAAATATGAAAACTGCAGTACTAGTTCGAGTATTACTGACAGAAAGCCAGTCTAACATAAAAATGGCTCTTCCAGGAAGCACAGCAACTCCTGTAACATGAATTAAAAATTAGCTTTCTGGGTATTTCAGGGTAAAGTGATGGCCTGCAAACACTGCAGTGAGATTTTCAGTAAGGAGGGGGCACTGAAGCTGCCTGCTGTGAGTATGGAGAATAAAGGCATAGAAGCAGATGACGAGAAGGATGCACTGAAGAAGCAGCTGAGAGAGATGGAGCTGGAACTTGCACAGACCAAACTGCAGCTTGTGGAAGCCAAGTGCAAAATTCAGGTACATGGAATCCAAGTGCAGCAGGGCAGTCTCCTTAACCTCATTGTGCTCAGTCCAAAATAATTCTGAATCACGCAAAAAATTGTTCCAAACAGGAGCATACACCCGTACCACTGTATACCTGTGAACTTCCAGAACAATTTTCTGTCTTTAAAAAAAAAAAAAAAGAAAGAAAAGAAAAAAAGAAAAGAGGTTTTCATTTTTATATTTAAATCTCTTCTGCTGTTTCCACAATTTCAATCCGTCTTCTGTCCCCAGTGCCGAGGAGGTTGCAAGGAAAGTGCTGGATTGCAGGGACTGAGTTTGAGGATGCTTTTTTGTTAATTAATCGGTTTTTGATCAATTCTGACTATTCTGCTTTCTTAGGAGCTGGAGCACCAGAGAGGAGCCCTTATGAATGAAATCCAAGCTGCCAAAAACTCTTGGTTTAGCAAAACCCTGAACTCTATCAAAACGGCCACAGGCACACAGCCACCACAGCAGCCTCAGCCGCCCCTGCCACCCAAAGAGGGCAGTACATAGTTCCAGCCAGACCCGATACAAGAGCACAAAGAACACCACAGCTGAAACCCTGGAGGAGTCTTCCAGTGGTCTCTCCTCTTGGGGAAAGGACAAAAGGCAGGAGTGCAGGCTTGAAGTGAAATTCTTCGGTGTTTCTCATTCATTCTGATGTGACCCTTTTCAAAGGGGAAAAAAAATAATTCCTGTTTTATGTTGAATTCTTACTTCCCAAACTGCCTTGCTGAAAGCCACGTTCTGATACCTTCATACTTTTACACTTTATTTTATATGACTAGATGTTAAATAAATACTTCAAAACTAGGTCTTTAATACATGACTAATTATTCAAAATTATTTTTATCTTGCATAGAAGGTTTTTTCTTCTTCTGGAGGAAGAGAGAATGGAAAATGTAAAGTACTGAAGCATAATCTCTTCATAGAAAGCACAGTGTAATAAGTACTAGCGTGTGTGCGGGTGTCTAGGATAACTTACGCCCTGGGACCATCAGAGAAGTTTATCGCAGTGACTGCGTCCTGCAGAGAAGCACTTTTTGTAAAGCTTAGGCCATAGCAAAGATAGTCTTGTGCTCTCTTGGCACAATTGTTTATGAGCTTCCCTGGTAATTTCTTAGTTTTGATTGTTTTTCCTTCAGAAATGCAAGTAGTGCAGTTCTTTGTAGCATTGTTGTTTAAAGGCTATTTACAGCTGAACTGGAATTTAACATAAAGTTATCTAGTTCCCTTTTTTATTTCATGTTTATACTAAGAATTCCAAGAAATAATTCCTTCCACTGGGATAAAGGGAAAACTGTTCAACATTTATTTGATGTTTTTGCTGACAAGCAGAATGAAGACCTTGCATAGTTTTGACCTTTTGTGAATCCTGTGCAATGAAAGGGTAGGTTTCATGAATAAAACTAATGAAAACCTGTCCTTGGGTCTATATTCAAATTCTGAATTTGACACAGAAATGAGGTATCAAATAAAAAAACCAAAAGGCTTGTGCTGCACTGATGAATAAAACATCATAGAAGCAAGATATGTTTGCTAGACGTATTTGGTTAGGAAATGCTATGTTGGTATTACTTATTTTTATAAAACCAAACATTTTCAAGTGGAATACAAAACCTAGACTTTCCCGTGGGGTAGACTTCTCTGATTCCCAAACCTGTCTGGTTGTTTTATATTTCTTAAGGTAAGAAAATTCAAAAGCATTTGTTTTGACTGAACATAAAGTGTTTATAGAAATACTTATTTCATGGAAAATTAAACTATTGCTTGAACTGATGGAATATTTTTTTAATTATACCTGGCGTGTCTAAAGATGGTCTTGCAGGTAAATAGCATTGCTGGACTAAAGGTTGTGTGTTAATTGTTCCGTTGACAAAATTGTTCCAGGGACATTAGTTCTGTTCTGATTTTTTTTTTTTTTTTTTAATTCTAAGGAATGCCATACCTTGTCAGTTTTGTACAATAAAATTTAATGATACCCATCTTGTGCTTTGTTGTCAAGCATAATTGTGAGTTACTTTAAACAGGGTAGTACAAATTTAATGTTACATGTGCCAAAGGAATGATTCTGAAAGGCAGTCATCTGTTTGAAGTAGAGATCAAAATATAATCACTATCTGGACACAACTATTCTGCAACGAAATTCTCTCTTCTAAGAGTAAGGGGTTAAAAATTTTAATATTTTAAAATGTACCTGCAAGAACAGTGATTATCTGGAATTACTAATACAGCAAGAAAAAAGGGGGGGAAAAGCAGAAGGAATTTCTTTGGCAAATATTAACAAAGATCTAAAAAAAATCTTGCTAATAATATTTGCATAAATGTTTCCCCAGTCTAAACCTAGCATTAGTCATTCACTTACCAGTTCCGCTTCACACTCGAACTGAACTGCATAATAAATTTGAAGTGACATTTAAGAATACCTGGTGAAAATCTGATTGTTACATTTGGGAGTACTGTGCCGATGAGTGACACTGATGGTTTGACAAGTGTCCGAATTTCTCATTTCATTTATCTTAAACCATACTTAAAGTGGATTTAAAACCTTGCTTGGAAAAGTGCGGTAATGATAATAAAAAATATGGTTAAGACTGTGATTTCCTGAGCAGCTGAGTTAACGTAACAGCTCGCTGCTGCTCAAAGATCTCACCCCTCCAACTCCCCGTTGTACAGTCCTGTCCCTTGTCCTTGTTATGGCACTTACTGGAGATGATTAAAAACAAACAAAAAAGATGTGGGTGGATTTTCTCCCCCACGGTTAGTCTTTTGCCAAGTTAATGAGTTAAATCATCTCAAAGGGTCCAATGAGTGCAAGCAGATCATGGGAGTGGGACTTCCCCAGTTTATCAAAAAAGAACTGTTAAATAAGCTCATGATGTTTCATGGAACTAGCTTTGATGCAACATCATCTTTCTCAGTGTAGCAGCTCTCTGACTTTGGAAGTTGAGTTTCTGTGACAAAAACGTGTTTGCTACCTGCTAGCTGTGATGATTTCAAAACTTTGTAGGATGGAAGCTGGCTTATATCAGCAAAAAAAGCTGCAGAAGGCGGTGGCTCCATTATCACTCTTGGCAATGACATAAAGGCAGTAAACAATTTTCACCTTCCATCTGTAGATTCAAGGTAGCATTTGTAGCAGTGGCATTTGGAAGAGTAATATTTACGTGGAAACTGTGTCCTCTCAAAACTACTGAAAGAATAAGAAAATAGCTCTATGGCATTATCTTGATGAATAAGCATAGTTATATTCAGAAACAAGGAAAGGAGCAAGACTGCAGGATGAAACCAGGCAAGCTAAAATTCTACCTGCTGACTATACATGCTATTGGGAAACATAGCTTCCTGTGAAAAAACAGTCTGGGTTTTAATTAGCCCTTTCAGCAGTGTGTGACAGAGCTACGTGCACACGTATCCCAGACCAACTATCTGTCAGGGATAGCTGGCTCAATTGCTTTTCAGCAGGCAACATCAAAGTCTCACTGAAACCGTTACCTTCATGTGGCACTGGAACAGCTAACATAGCTCGTAAGTCTGGAGTGATTAATATTTTTCTCCTGAGTCAGTATTAAACTATGTGTCCACATCAAACTTCTATTAAAAGTAATTTGAATTTTATAAATACATATGTGGAACTAAATCTTATTTTTTAATTTTATTGAGAATGCACAGTTCTGAAATAAAGCCTTTACTTTGATTAGGGACAAACCTACAAAGAATATTTTTAGTACAACTGTTTTATCTTGTTGGATTCTAATCTGTTCCTGAGATGCCCAATATGGAAAAAAAAAAAAGTACTTTTTTTCACTTTAAAAAGAAGTTGTTTTTACTTTGACTGTAACACTTTACAGGATAAATGAAGCAAGGCTGATTTAGTTACCTGATACATCTGTGAACCAGTCTTGTATTATCTTTGTGAATCAAACTTAATATTCTAAAGTAATAGGACTTATTTCACTTGGTTTAACAAATTCTAAATGTACCCGGAGAGAATTAAAAACAGTAAAATAGAAAATGTCATGCGTGGTGTTAATCCAAAAAACTGCAAAATCCCTGAGGTCCATATGCATTAATGTTTATTAAGACCAGTTTCAGGAAAGGTAGTCAGCCGTGTAATCACTACTGCCAGCTGACAAACACATCCTTGTCCTGCCCATTAATTAGTATATAATTTGCTACAGCTAAGTTAAATTGCTTACATAGGTAAGCAATTTTTTTTTTGCTTGTTAGACATTTTAAAGGACTTCTCTTGGTTGGCCCTTGAAATTTCTTTTAAGATGGACGCTTTCATCTGTGCCATTGTGTTAAAAAACAGCTCAAAATAAAAACAGCCATTTACAAGGGGAGAGGGAGATAGAAAGTCAAGAACAGCAAGAATTCAGCCCCTTGACAAAGCATGAAGTATCCCGTTGGCTTCAGAGTCACGATGTCACTCACTGACTGAATGTGGCAACTTAGGAGTAAATAAAAATCTGAATTTACTGGCACTGAAGTATCAGAACTTGGAAGCTGCATAAGTCATGCTTTCTCTACAGGATAAAGGTAGGGCTGTTCCCTTCCTTCTATTAAGTAGTTGCAGTGAAATCCATGAAACTACTTGTATGTGTGGGAGAACTATACCTCTTATTTTGATTTACTCTTAGACTCAGGGATAACTGGCATACTTCTGCATAATCTAATAAGCCTAAATACCTTTGCCATGGAAAACAGAAACACTCTTATCTTACAATGCAGGTTTTCTTCCACCTGCTAGAGAGAAAAACCTTAGTACATGTTACCCTCTGAATGTGAAGATCAGGGCAGAGATTCTCCTCTCAGGACTGAGGGACTGTTCTGGCTGACAAGCATGCCTCTCTTACAGCTGAACCCTGCAGCATGGGATGTTGTGCAAACAGCTGGCTGCGCTAGACATGTAATGCTGTGTACACCCAGGGCGGTGTATTCCCAGGCATCACATTGTTCTTGCGAACACAAAGGCTTGAACTAAATTATTTTTCTGTCTATTATGCTAATATCCTACTGGGAGCTGTCCCATTACCTCCTTCCAAGTAATAATAGTAAGGGAGACACAATGAAGCACTCCAGTTTGGACCTTTCAAGTTTGGTTAGGTATACATCACAGCAGCCTTTAGCCTGGGCTAATCCATAGATGGGTTTGGGAAATTCAAAGGATTTGCAACTGGATAAATAATACTCAGCATTGATCAAGATCCTATCTTTCCCAAGTCAGAAGTCTACATAATTTATTTCAGGATCGTGACTGAACACATACAGGTTAATCCTCCAGGAATACAGGGCTCTCCATTTCTCCGGGATTCCAACTGCTTTGCTACTGAATGTATTTCATGCTATTTTTACCTGAAAAAGAAAAAAAGATATGGGTAGAGAACTAGGACATTACTTCCTCTTATTTTCTTATTCAGTGGGACTTGCTTTTATTTAACCTGTAAAGGAATATATATGTATCTTTGGAAAACTATATCTTATATATAGAATAATATATAGGAAACTGAATCACAAGGGGATAAATACATCAAAAGGATTTGGTATCATAAATTTCATTTGTGATTTGATACCACCAGAATCCTGGGCTGTACTAATTTCCTTTCAGTTTCTCTTATTTTTGTATTTTATGTAATACATGGATGGTACTACCAATGCAAACAAGAGCAGGCGTTCTCAGATTTTTCTCCAGATCCCAGTTCCCTCCTTCCAGTAATTCCTGGGCTTGCACTGCTGCTGATACTACCTTCAAAAGCTGTGCCAGGAGCTCTCTCAAGCTTTGGGAACTGTTGCTTTCCCATGGAAGAAGATTCTCTGGCTTCTCTGAACTGGGTAAAGATGGCACATGAATGCAGAAAAGGGTCTAACCGAGCATGATCCAGATCCCTCAGAGTCTGCCATTCAAGGTGGATTCGCTTCAGCACACTGAAAACAGAGAGCAGCTTCGAAGCTCTGACTCCATTACGATGAAGTTTTTCAGGTTTGGAGTTGCATTTCTTGTCTGGGTGTGTCCCAAGTTCGTAAAATGCATTTTCCTAAAGAGTTAGGAAAAAAGACCATCACAGCGATATCAGACTTTTAACTGAGAACAATTCAGTACTGCCAGTTCTTGTGTAACAAATCCATGTATTATATAAAGTATAATATGGAAATATAAGTGTAATGCTTGTTATTAAAAGTGCAATTCAATGTACATGGTCACAACAAATGTTTACTTTTTTAATTGTTACAGAATTGTTTGGATCAGTACCTTGTTATCATTGTGTGAACGATGCCTTGTAAAATAAATGGAAATGCAAACAAAACGGGAATAAGTGCTTATTTTCATAAGCCATTTACTTAAGAAACAGCTTAAATCAGTTTGCAGTAATAAACAGCTGCTGTGTCAGGTTTTCTGATACAGGTCACTCCAGCTGGTTATTTTCAAGCAGCACTGTTGCGCTAGGACACAGTGACTTGGCAGACTAGCTGTCCAAAATACGTGCATGCCTCATAGCTAATTCCAACCCGTTCGTAAGGATAACGTACTCGTTCACAAGGGGTAATCTGTTCCGCAGGAGCCTGACGGGCAGGCACTGTGCTCGAGAGCTAATGGGTCACCCTTGTCCTCTGCTCCAAATGCTAGTCTGAGGTTTCCAGCACAGAGAACGTACTGGTAAATACGCTTTTCTTAAAGGTTGTTGAAATACAGCAATGGGGCAGCAGGAGCTGTTGTTAAGGACTTCACGCTTCCCTGGAGTACACCAGAGAAACATGCAACTGCACCATGAGGCAGCATGCCTGAAGGAAGAGACATAGGGAGCAGAAAGAAACAGCACGAAACAGAAAACTGGCTCGTAACAGAGAAGCACGGCTGAGCAAGAACAGGACAGAGCAGAATTTACAGCAGTCAAAAGTATTTAAATCCTTTATAAAACCATTTTTCCATGTGAGCAATTGCTCTAGGATTTCTTTTTTATTAATTGAGATGAACAGCCATTG